TCAAAATTGAAAATAAAAAGTTCGTGCTAATTTTTCAAGTACAAGTTTTGCTTACATTCTTCGATTATTATAAAAATTGACATATAGACTCATTGCGCCATGACAAGCATGTTTGGTCTGCATAATTAACTTTGAAAAAATCATAGCTCTTTTCCAGTTCCCCCCTTTCAATTTTTAAAAGTCAATTTTTAAAAGCTTTTTTAACGTTGTCATAATGCAATGAAGTTTGACGTGGTGAACAAATCGACAACTGTGAACAGAAATATTTTTCATACTTTACAGCGTAACATCACGCATTTAGCTGTAATAAACGTAAAACAAACATAAAAGGGGGAACTGGAAAAGAGCCAAAATCATAGTTACACAACCATAAAACTGTTCTTTATATGAGGTGTGGGCGGAGGGAGGAAAACGAGTTGATAGTGAAGCTGGATTTCAGAACTGAACCAAAACTTAGTTTCAAAATTTTGAGGGTTTGAGGATAATAAATTGACCATTTCGGGAAAACTACGGAGTGGTAATTCAGTTTTCGTTTTTTTTCTTAAAAATAATTTATTTTAATTGTCTCTCGATCATCATGTGCATGTATATTTTTGATTTTTTTTTCCAGTTTTTTCGTTCTCATCTTTAAATTTCAGTATTGAAAAATTATTTCAACATTGTTACAAAGCAAAGAAAGAAAAAAATGACTGTTTTTTTTTGTGGAGATTCACGTGAGGTAAAAACAAAGAGTCCTCATGAAACGAAATTGAACAGCTTAGTCTTTTCGGCTCTAATCCACATCCCCTCCCCTCCCCCGCCCCCCGCATTTGAATTTCAGTTTTGAAAAAATCATTATAACGTTTGTCATAATGAAACGAAAATTGGCATGATGAGCAAGTTATAATTGTGAACAGAATTGTTTTTCTTAGTTTACATCGTAACATTGCGCGTGTGGCTCTTTTCCATCTTTTCAAAATACCGAGTTTTATGTTTGTTTTACGTGTTATTACGGCTAATTGCGTGATGGTACGCTGTAAAGTATGAAGAAAAAATCTGTTCACAGTTGTCGGTTTGTTCACCACCCCAACTTTCATTGCATTGTGACAACGTTAAAAAAGCTTTTCAAAATTGAATTTGAAAGGGGGGAATTGGAACAGAGCGGCGCGTTTAGCCATAATAGCTCGCAAAACAACTATTAAAAAGAAAGTTTGAAAGATGGGGAAAATGGAAAAGAGCTTTAATTTTCATTAAAAAAATTGTGGGAAACCACTAGGGTTATTCTAAACTCGAATAAAAATGACAGACTGGCAGAATTTCATTATCTGAGCTTGAAAAGTAGGGGCAAGTGGAAAAGAGTCTTCGGTTGCTCGTATTTTTCAGTCATTTCTGATATTTTCCTTCTTTATTGAAAACATTTACCTGTGTTGAGGTAGTTGTATTTGTAGCCATTTTGGAATATACGTGAAAATAATACGATAAATTTAAGCAGAAGAAGCTAAAATTTATAAATAAATTACATAAACTAAAAATATGTATTCAAAGCTAATTAATTTTGCTGAAACTATATAATTATTGGAGAAAATTTGAAATAAAAAAGACTCAAAAGAACATCACGTGCAATTTTATTGTGAACTGAAAAGCATGAGGGTGAATCAACAGTTTAGTTTTCGACAATCTGTGAATTTAGAAATTTTTTGGCTTTTTTCTCAATTTTTTCCCCACCTTGCACGGAAATCGATTTTGTGTTGTAACGAGTAGTTTTATAAGGTTAAAAAGGAACATCAAAAGCTCTTTTTCCTCCACCTGCAAAAATTTTAGAGTAATTTTCTGTTCACATTGTCGGATTATTATGAAGTTACTATTATTATGATTACTAATTAGGCCATGGCAAACATATTTGGTTTTCATACTCAGCCTTGTAAAACCCCTCGTTACACAATGAAATCGATGCTAATGTGAGGTGGGGGGATAGGAAAAAGAGCCGCTTAATTAGTACGTTTGTCAATTTTCATAACAATTGAATAATAGGAACAATAGTGTAACTTTCAGGAGGGGAAAAAAGAGAGCCAAATTTTGATGCTGTAGCTTCTGCATTCTAGGCCCTTCTCTGTTTCCCCACCGCAAGCCAATTTCTGGGTTTCTAATTTTTTTGACATGAAAATTAGCATCGGGCTGCAAAACGCGAAAAAAGAAACGTCAGGTTCTTTTTCCTCCACCCCCCCCCCCCCGCTAGTGAAATTTTGTTCACTCTATCCCATTGTTACAAGAATTGGCATGCGAACTAACTAGGTTTTGACAAACACATTTGCTCTTCATCTTTAAATTTGTAAAACCCTTCGTTACACCATAGAATTGATGTTTAAATGAGGAGGGTGGGGGGGGGGGGGGGTGGTTTGGGAGAACTAAACGTAAAATCAAGGGTAACACTGTAATTTTGCTGTTTTTGTACAGAGTTTGAAATCAAGTGGGGAAATAGCTGCGCCTCTTTTTGTCAAAAAACTTTTCAAGCCGAGAAAAAGTCGTTTAACTGCCCATCTTTCATAAGCAAAAAATTTGACAGTGTGAAGTGGTTCTCTTTCCACACTTTCGCGACACTTTCCTGTTTTCATTGCACCGCAAAATTTCAAAGGTAGTTTTTGGCTTGAAAGACTAATCAAGTATCAAAAACACTAAAGAAAGGTCAATTTTCTTCAGTTTTTTTTGAATCTTAGCATCACGCCTTCATAAAACAAAGCTACCTACTTACTATCAAAAGTTTATATAAAAAACTAAAAAAAAAACAGTTAGCATCAACTTCAGTTGAAATAACTTCCGTTTATTTCTACAAACTAACAAGAATTAGAATATTCATACCCATTAGTTATCACAAATTGACCAAATTAAAAATTTTCCTGAGCCCTTTTTTTACAATAAAAATAATCTCAGATAGGAATCACTTTTTTGCTCCGTTTATTAAAGTTTCTGAGAGACAAAAAACCGTCCTCAGAACCTCAGTTACAAAAACAGTGAAATGACTGTACGTGTGAAATCACAAACTTCCATACTCTCACATAATTATATAGAACAGTTTTTCCCATTGGAAAATTGGTTGACTAGCAAATGTTTCGCTGAACCAAAACAAAGAATTTTCTAACATAATAGTACCCGTTGGTAGAGGGGAAAAACTCTCACATAAAAAGTCTCACTCGGAAAAATCGAATAAGTGCAGCAGATAGTGTTTCATAGTTGACTCTAAATTATTAGTGTGAAATTAATTGTTTTTGTATAGCGATAGAAAATAAAAATGTAGAGTCAAAAACTTTACTATTCGATAATCTGGCCTGTTTTTCTAAACACTTTAAAGCATCTCTGCCAAAGAAAAACAAAAAACTTTAATATTTAGATTTGCACAAAAAATCGTAGTCAAAATTGTTTAAATTGTTCAAAAAATCACTTGGCTTTCGCAATAGACAGGAATCACAAATCAGAGTTAAAAATTACTTGAGATTTGACATTTATAGTAATTGAATCTCTGCAAAAGCATATGAGCTTTTTAAGACAGTTTCAAGAAATCACAGGCGCTTAATTTTAATGCCTATTTAATATAACTTTGGAAAATTTGTAAGAAAGTGAATGTATAGTCAATTTGAGTGCAAAATGAACGGGCGAAGGGTATGCCATCAACAATAGCTAAACATTATTTGATTGGCCGCCTGCTCTTGTAAACTTACACTATTCAAAAAACAATAACTGATAAAAAAAAGGAGCTAAGCAAACAGTAGCATTTTGTAAAAAAAAAACTAAAAGTTGATTTTTTTTTATTTATTTTTGCCGGTGAGTCAAGTTAATCCAGCTGGTGATTGAAGTTTATTTTTGCCGGTGAGTCAAGTTAATCCAGCTGGTGATTGAAGTTTATTTTTGCCGGTAAGTGAAGATAATCCAGCAGTATAACGATAAGGTCACAAAGAATTCTCAGCCTTGATTGCTGATAACAAAAACAAAAGCTATTCTGGGTTCAATCGTGTGAAATGCTACTAAAATCCAAGAACAGTTACCATCTGAAATTGTCTGGGAATTTGACTAACCGTCAACCTTTTCTCATAAGTTTGTTTTCATTTTTGTATCATGATGATTAATTTTTAAGCCATTAATTTAATTGGCAAAACCACCAACAGTTGCTTGAATTCTATCTAAATTTTTCATGATGCTTGTTGGAAAAACTTTGCTTTGCCTGTTTTTTCTTTATTTTGTTCACCCTCTCGAATCAGACTTGAAATTGGATGATGGATTATTTGAAGACCAGTTTTTAGCTAGATTACGTCACAAGTGGCTGGAATGGAAATTTCAGACTGGACGGAAATATTTTTCCCGATCGGAAGAAAATAATCGGTTCAAATTTTGGGCTCAGAAGTTTAGAGAGGAATGTATTTTATGTTTTCTTAATATCTCGCGGATTTTCGAAAATTGTTGGCAAAAATTTTGTCGAATTTATTCTTTAGGTCGACAAATGGATTTTCGAAGCTTTCCATATACTATTTTGACTACAAAAAATTTGGCACCGCAGGCTAGTTTTTGAAAAAACAGGTCAACAAATCCGTTTTTGGGCACTTTTTGAAAAATTTTGACAAAAAATCTTGTTTTTTTTTGGCGCGCGCTAGATTTCAAAATAGGAATAAATTGGCGCCCAAGGCACCATTAGAAAAAAATTCAGGGTTGGTCGCCTAAAATGGATATCATAAATTAATACCAAGGGGAGACTCTTTGGTTGGTGAGTGTGTCGAATCCATGAGGGTAAAAAGGCGTCCAACCCCCCCCCCCCCCCTCCCCTAAATCCGCCCCTGTCCTTAACCTCAAGCGACGAGCACGGATCGTGTTGGGTTTCGAACATCTGATCTTTCGATTGAGAGGCAGTAAAACAAATTCTTCACAACCGCTCCCCAATACAAACAATATCTCTCTTTAATAAATGGGGGGCTCAGAGTTACAGACAGTTTTAAACTCTTATGTGATTTCCTTTAAAAAAAACTTTTGTTTTCTAGATGACAAGTCATAACGAAAAGTTCAAACTCGGCCTTGAGTCGTTCGAACTCGGGTTGAATAAATTCGCTGACATGAGTTTCCAAGAGTTCGCCGCCAGCCGACTCGGCAGCCGAATGAAGTTGCCAGCCGAGAAGTGGACCAGTTCGTGGAACTCTGACGACAACCAGTGGCTTCCGAATCACGTGGACTGGAGGAAACGAGGATTCGTGAGGGATGTTGGAGATCAAGGATCTTGTGGAAGCTGTTGGGCTTTTTCAACTGTAGGGAGCGTGGAAGGACAATGGTTTAATGCGACTGGTTTGTAAATAACTAGTAATCTCCATTCATTACCAGTGCCAAAAATGGTTAAATAAGCCTTCACCTTCGTCACTTCAAACAAAAAGCCAGGTTTTGTTCACAAAAGTGAAATCCAAAATGACTCGGGTTTTCTAAAACTCTTTGATTTATCGATAAAGAAAAAAAACTTTAAAAGTAGTGTTCTTGTTTTGTATATTTTTGCTTTTTTTTAAGAACCCGCAAATTTATTCAAACAATTTCCAGAATTTATCCCTCAAATTTTATCAGAAATACTCATATTGGAAAAATATATGTTATTTGAAAGTTTGTTTATTTGGAAACAGGTGAAAAAGTGCGTCTAAGTGAGCAGCAACTGGTGGATTGTGACAATGAACAGAACAGCGGCTGTGAAGGGAGGGGGCCATTTCGCAATTTCCACTCTCAAGTGTTAAATAAATCGAAGATAGTCGCGGTTGCTGTGCAAAGTTCCGCGAAGCGAGCTTTTTTTAAAGAAATTAAAAATGCAGGAAAAAAACTAAATTTTCAAAACTCAGTTTTTTTGAAAAACTAAAACATTTATACCACTTTTTCTCGAAATATTATTTATAATTATTTCAGATTTTTTTTTAGAATTCGAATCCCGACTGAAAGAGCTTTTGTTTGATACCTCACTCTACCTCCTAAGAGCTTTCTTTGAGGGGTAAAACAGACCCTAAGCCATTATAGAGTTCCTTCCCAAATTTGTGAAAATATCGAAATAAAAACAAATCTTCGATTTTTTCACTTCAATCAAAACTGACCGGCCTGTAAGTAAAAAAGAAAAACTAATCGCCGATGTTCAAACAAGTTTAGTGTACTGGTTGAATTTTTCGACAATCATTGATTATTCTCAAAATTCTCGCGGAAAGACTTGTTTTTTTTTCGCGGAAAGACTAGAGGAAAGGGGGATTGGAAACGTTGAATTAACCTCACAGGGGGATACATGGGGGAGGCTATGGAGTTCCTAATCAGGAACGGGTCAGTGAGTCAAGCAGACTACCCCTATGTCTCCGGGGACTTCCGGTCAGATGGGGGGAGGGTGTATGAATGCAGAGCGGGAGACAGAATGAGAAGAAGGGCCACGGTCTCCGGCTTTGTAAGGGTGAGTTAAGAAGTAGTTAGAAGTAGCGCAATTAAGTTATACCCATTACCGGTAAACTTTTCCCCATTTAGTGGACGTGTAAAACCACACCACTCTCAACCCCCCCTCCCGCCCCTCTGCCCAAACCACACAGGCACAGGCACTATCAAACCAGATCTCCCTACAGCTGCAGAATTTGAAAATCCTCGACAACCAAAAAGTCCGAAAAACTTTTTTGACCTAAAACCTTCATTTTTTTTACCCCTTTTGCAAAAGGGGGAAGATTTGTTACTAGGTACAAAATGCTTAACCCTTGAATTATTTCTTTAATGGGGTGACATTTCGTTACTAGGTACCCATTTTGTTTCGAGGTACCCGTTTCATTACTAGGTAATCAGTTAAAGATATCCATTTTTTCAAAACAACTACAAAATTTTCCTTCAATTTGGTCACTTAAAAAATCTTCGGAGCTTGAGAAGCGCCAAATAAACAGAAGATACTAGTAAAAAAAGTGATCCACAAATGATGCCTACATTTTGTGGATCACTTTTTTTTACTAGTATCTTTACCAGTGGTTTCGAACTTTTCGAAAACCAACACATGATGATCCCAGAAATCTAAGATCGAGCCCTTTTTGATTTTTTTAACATTCAATTCTCATAACAAAATCGTTAATGAGAATAAGGTCAAAAATAATATTCTAGTTGCCATTTGGAAACGAGCGCAGATTGAAAGAAGCAGTGGCCAACGTTGGACCTATCTCAGTAGGCATAAATGTCATAGACCAGTTCCAGGGCTACTCGGGCGGAGTTTTCTACAGCCAGTGTTGCCACGCGTGCGAACTAAACCACGCGGTGCTTCTGGTAGGCTACGGGACGAATAGTATGGGTCAGGACTACTGGCTGATTAAGAATAGCTGGGGGACGGGTTGGGGTTTGAACGGGTACGCAATGATGGCTAGAGGCATGAACAATAACTGTGGAATAGCTAGTTACGCTCTCTATCCAACTGTCTAATGATAACTAAAAAATATTTATTATTCATATCAATCAGAGCAGATTCAAAAATTCAGTAATATTCACAGTTTTTCTTCGTAGCGTAAAATGACAATCCTGGTTGAGATGTTCTACTGAAATTGTTTGAGCCAAAGTTCAAGTCCGTGACTAATCCTTTCGTCGACCAAAAATTCAAACAGGGATAGCCGGTCACTGTGCAAGTAGCACAGAATGTACCGACCACACTAATAAAAAACTACAGATTTTTTCAAATTTAACTCGTTTTTTTTTGGGAGCGATGTGAAGAGAGAACTATGGGAACGTGTAAAAAATTAGGGAATTGGAACTAATCGGCAACTTTTGCCTTCGAAAACTAATACTAAAAAAAATAGACAAGTTTTCCAAAAAATTAATTGTTTTTTGGAAGCTGTAGTTTTTACGAAGTAAAGTTGAAATTTTACTATGTAAAAGTATTCTGTCAGTATAATTTTGAGCAAGTAAAGACTACTTATTTTGGACAAGTCTTAAATAAAACCAGATTTCGAAAATTTAGCTCGAACATATTGCTCATATTCACGGTAACCACTTTGAAGAACAATTTCAATAAACGACCATGAATCTATAAACGAGCAAAATAACCAAAAAAATTTAAAAACTTTGACAGCAAAAAATGCCAAGCAAGACAGTACTAGTTGGCTCAAATAACGATTAAAGTTGACTAAAGTTTTGTCAAGTCTTAGAGCAAAAAAAATCAAAAAACCGTCTGTGGGGCGATGAAATCGGCTCTTTACTCTTAAGTTACAATATAAATTTCTATACAAAAAGGTTGGTGCATGTTCGAATCCGTGTCTATATCTATATAGTGTACTGCCCTGGTTAACGTCCGTAGACTAAAAAAATTTTTGAATCGCAGAACTAATTTTGTGAGGCAAATATTAATATTTTGTGCATCACGTAGTCCTGGATACACAAAAATTGTACGCTTATTTATTTTGTATGTCATTTTTTTGTATGCCTAGATCAATGCTTGATTAACCAAAAATCCAATTTTCAGAAAAATGATTTAAGAAAATTTTGAAACATTTTTAAAGTTAAATAATTTCGTTACATCATTTCTGTATGATAAATTTAAGAAAATTCTGGCAGTTTTCATTGCAGTCTAATGGCAAGACGGTCAAACTTTTGATGACTCTACTTGTGAGTCACCAAGGTATTTGTCCAGGGGTGGATCTAAGATTTTCTCGAGGGGGGGAGATTTTCAAAAAATTTTCGAAAATTTTGTCGACCTTTATTTTAGGTCGACCAAATTGATTTTCCGAGCTCTCCCAAATTACTAAAAAGACCTGTTTTGGTGAAATTTTCTGCGCTGCAGATAAAATTCTGAAAAACAGGCCAATATTTGGAAATTTTTGAAAAAAGCGTTTTTAGGCAACTTTTGGAAAATTTTGACCAAAAGATCACGCTTTTTCGGTGCGCGCGTCACCCTCAAAATTAGTACACATTGGCTCCGGAGGCGCCATTAGAAATTTTTTAGGAATCGTCACCAAATATGGATATCTCAAAATAGTCCTTTGGGTCGGAAGAGGGTCGAATCCCTGAGGGGGGAGCGAGCGTCCGTGCCCTCGCCCCCCCCCCCCCTAAATCCGCACCTGTATTTGTCACTTGTGTTCGGTTAGGAACACAAACCAAAGATTTTAGATAAAGTAAACTTGAAAGATCATTTTTTTGGTTTATGGAAACTAATTTTTTTTATTTTTTTTGTTGCACACAACAAGATTTACAAACTCTTAAAAAGTTTTCAGTCAAGGTACGTAGCCATTTTTTCGATTGACTTGAGAGAGCATTCTCTGTTCAAACACAAATGAACACGTTTGCTTTGATCGAGTCGACAAAGTTTAGTGGTTTGGAATCCAATACAGTTGATTAGAATCTGTCAAGTAGGTCGAAACATAGTCACTTGATGTCAAGTTGGTCGAACACTTTGGGTCGCATTGGTCAAATTTTGGCATGCTTAGGCCGGCCACAAAAAAAATTGCATATTTTCGAGTTGAGGTCTTACCTCGAGTATATTTGGACGGTCTGAACCAAAAAATCAGAAAATAGTGCACACTTGTTGTCAAACCAATTCAGATATCTCTCTATTGTGCTTGAGATAATTTTTGACCTTGCTCGAGGTGTACTTCAACCACCTCCGACTATGTTTTGACTGTGCTCGAGCTATGTTCTGATCATGCTCGAGTTGAGTTTCGATCATGCTAAAAGTACGGTTCAACGGTGATAAAGTTATGCTTCGACCGAGTTTAAGTTTCCGTGTTTAAGTTTATGGCTTGTGTCGCAACCGAAAATGAATATGCTTTGATTTTCATCGAATACAGTTTTCGAAAAACAAAAAAAAACATAATTATATTTAAACTTCGAGTAAGATTTCAGTAAGGTTTTTCATGATAACCAAATTATAGCAACCACATGCTCAATAAAAACGACCCGGGTTGACCAAAAATGCTTATCCTACTTTTTTCATAGATAAAAAAATGCTCATCATATAATTTCTTACAATTCCATAGATACAGAAAATGTTAAGCAAACTCTAAGATATTTTTCATAGATGGAAATTGTATGATAACCTTTTTTCCCAAAAAAATTAACATTTTTTTTCATCGCCAGACTGTTTTATTTTGGTTCAAATCTTTTTTCAAGGATTTTTTGAAAATATATGAAAATTGTATGAACAGAACTTTTCCATACATTTGACGTATGGAATTGTATGATAAGCATTTTGGGTGCATGGAATTGTAAGATAAGCGTTTTCGGCTTCTGGAAGTCAACCCGGGGAGGTGATAAAACAAACTTTTCAACTGTGTTTTTTTTCTATCCTTCTTTTTATGTCTTAAAACTAGTCGCATAAAATTAAAATTGAATTGTTTTTTTTTGTCATAGCATATTTTTATGTTGCTAAATTGCGAGCTTTTAATTTTATGCGACACGGACAGAAAATATCAATTGCACGACCACTATTGTTTCAACATGAATGGCGACCCTCGGATGAGTTCAAGATGCTTAAACTTTTGTGTGTCAAAAACTTAGCTACTGCCAATCGTCGTAAATCAGGTTTTTTCTTTTTTCTATTATTACGGATAACTTTTTTGGCAAAAAATAAATTTTGAAAATACAATCCTAAAATGCGTTGAAAAAATTTTATCAAAAAATCGCGTTTTTCAGCGCGAGCTTCCCACTTAATTTTATTCAATCAGCGCCTTTAGAAAAGTTTGTGAGTCCGTCAGCCAAAAATGGATATCTCAAATTAGTACAAAGTGGGAGCCCTTTAGGTCGGCAGGGGTTCGAATCCCTGAAGGGTTCGCCCCTCGTAAATCCACCTCTAACTACACTAGATTACTCTAATACTGATCCTAATCTTACTCTTAAATTTCCCAGTCTCAATAGATGAATAAATTTAGCTTTACATTTTACCGTAACTTTTATTAATGGATCATGATTAGTTAGTTTTAAATATTTTACAGTGATAAATATCAAGGAATATTATAAAAAACTTTAGAAGCTTGTTTTGAACTGATTCCAAGACAAAAGTTTCAAAAACAAAAGTATTCAGAGATATTGGCCCGGGCTGATGTCCTCGTCGTGCGAAATGAGCATAATTTTTTTAAAATTCTATGACGTTTTTTATTCAGATTTACGCAAAATGGATGACTTGCAGTTTTCCATGAACTACAGATTGATTGCTTCGCACTTTTTTCTTTTAATTTCCAAACACAGCACCCCGGTAAAAAATAAGCCCATAAGTTAGAATGAAAAAAATATATCTCAAAACAAAACTTCAAATTTGAGATTTTTTGATTAGGTTGAAACTAATTCTGAAGCAATAGTATCACAAAAACAAAAAAAATAGATCAAACGTACATTCCCCCCCCCCTATAAGACCTACCGTAGAACACCCTTCTCAAGCATGTATTATTTCTGAAAATTAAATCTTAACAAAATATCCATTTCAAACAGACGTGCAATTAAAATTGATTTTCACATTTCAATGCGAAATTGCATTTGGACGCTGTTTTTTACACAAACTATTGCTTGATTTCAATATTCTTTGGTAATAAGCCCAGTTCGAAGTGGTCGAAAGATAATCAGATCGAAATAGGTCGAGCAGCGAATGTTTACAGACTGAAAATACACACTTGACTTTGGTCTGATAGTCTCAGCATCATACTGAATTTCAGTCTGATGATCAAACTAGGGTCGAATCAGAGTTGAATTAGAATCAAATCAGGGTTAAATCAGGTTCGAACTAGAGTAGAATCACGGTCGAAATAGAGTCGAATCAGGTTCGAACTAGAATTCAATCAGGTTCGAAGTAGAGTCTAATCAGAATCGAACAAGAGTCGAATCAGGGTCGAACTACAGTCAAATCAGGGTCGAAATAGGTTCGAACTAGGGTCAAATCCGAGTCTAACTAAGGTCAAATCAGACTCGAACTAGGGTCGAATCCAGCTTGAACTAGGGTCAAATCCTTCGCCTTATGGATAGCTATCTGCAAGTTAGCAGGAGCGAAAAGCGAAATCTGAATAAAACACGGATGCACTAAAAATCATCTACAAAGACGAAAAATTGTTCAAAAAAGCAGAACTGCAACGAACTTTTTTTCTATGACAGAGTTTTGTCATTAATTCAGTATTTAATAAAATTTAATAATAAACATCCAAAAACATGTTTTCCTTTGCAATTTACTTTGATGCTTGCACCGAGTGTTTGATCACTGTGCTCGCTAATCTCCAAAACTGATCCAAATTCGTTAAATTAATAAGAGATATTTCTCGGCAAATAACTCGGTCAATAAATTAATTTCGGCATTTTTTCTATTGATCTGAACATCATATAACATTTTTATAATCTGTTCGTTTTTGGTACAAATCGGCGCAAGCTAGCCACAAGAACCGGTCGGTAATGTCCTTGAGACAAATTGCTTTTTTTGGCGGTCAGTCTTAATCAAGGCTGAACCGAACTAGAAT